CCAAAGATAGTGATTAGCACAGCTGGGAAGAGCATCGAGATCTGCTACCTTCAAGCCCAGTGCTTGTCCCACTATGCCAAGCTGCCTCTGTATGGACCTTAGGAGTACAACTGCTTCACTATCTGTAAGAAACTCTAGGACCAGACCCCATTCAGGGTGTTCATGTCCCTTTTCCCATTTTTCTGCCTATAGGAATAATGATTGGGGATTTCTGACAACCCTTCTTCTATGGCAGCCTCAGCATAGACTCTTAGGTCTTAAAGCCCTCCCCAGCTCCCCTTGGGTGGTGGTAGTGGGTGGGTGGGGGGAGAGACTTTCTGCCATGTCCAGGATCCCTAGGACCCAGAAGTTAGGTTTTCCTCCTCCCATTTCAGTAACGATTGACCTTTATCCAGCCCATGTGTCCCCTTTCCCTTCTGACCATGTTGATTTCCAAGGTCCTTTCCAACTCAAAATCCTATGATACTATGAATTTCAAGTATCACAACTATGGAAGGGAGCACAGGGATTCTTGTGGGTCAGAGGTCTTGTCAAGACCCCCTCAGATCACAAGCCACACACTCAAAAGGGTGACCCCATCCTCTAAGCTCCTGCAAAACATGGCTGCTTTCTTAGTATTTGGGGCTCATCAGCAATTTTGCTTTTCTAACTGGAGTACTACTGTGTCTTTAAACGGAAAAAAATTTTTTGCTTTATCATGTTGGCTTCTCCACTCAGAACTGGGAGCCATCCCATTCCAGGAAACTCGATCCTACCAGCCAATGCTGGTTAAAGGGGAAGTGCCCCTTTTTTTCTTAAGTCCAGTTGTCTTCAGGTGCCTGAAGGAGATGATGGCTCCAGATTCCCAGCAATAGGGAACATAGGGAAGGGAAAGGAGATGGTTATTTCCCATGGGATTGCAAAGTCAAAGCAAATCACACCACCAGTGGGTAGCAATTGCCTGCTTCTTTCACTGCAGAAAGTTCCTCTGAGAGAAGGGGTGTGACATGGCCAGGGTGAGCTGTCCTCTTTTCACCCCCAGTCATTCCCAATGCTTCAGTGACCACCTCTGTGGCTAGGACTCCCACATCCACAGCTACAGTTCTGGCCTCCCTTTTGAGCTCCAGTTGCACACAGACACCTCCACTTGGATGTGCCAAGAATATCTCATGCCAAAACTGAGCTAATGATCTTTCCCCCAAGCCTGCTCCTCCCCCTGGGTTCACCATTCCTGTCTGTGGTGGTGCCATGTTCCATTCCAAACCTTGCTGGGTTACCTTTGACCCTTCCCTCCCCCATCCCTCATACTCAAACAGTCCTGTGCTTCCCTCCTCGGTAGTGCCCTCCTCTCTATTCCTGCAGCCACTGCCCCAGTCAAAGCCCTTATTAGACCACCTGGAATATTGCAATAGTTTCCATTTTTCTCTAAGATCTTAATTTTTTCCTATTGTTATCTTCTGGCTTTTACATTACCTTCATTTCCAAACATATCCACCCTCTTTCCCTTACCTAGGCCCTTGGGACAGAATTAAAGAAACAAAGAAATTCAGAAAAACCAACATATTAACTGACTCTGATGGTATTTGGAACCCTCTCACCCTTATAAAGAAGGAAGGGAAGTGCATTTCTATCTCTTTTACAAGGCTAGCCTTGGTCATCATAATTACACAGCATTCTTTTCTTTTTTCATATTCCAATGAGTTTATACATCTTCCCATGCATGTCTGAATTCAATGGCTTTCTTTCACCTCTACCCTGTCCCAAACCCCTAATCCCTCTTTATTTCAGCCACACTGATCATCCTCATGCACAGATTTTGTCTTGTTACTGCTCAAGTCTTCAGTGACTCTATTGCCAGGTGTTTAACATTCAATCCATTCTGCCTGGCATTTAAGGCCTTTTCCCAGTAGATCATCATTCTGCTTTTCTAGCCTTGTACCATGTTACTTGCCATCCACATACTTTATGCTTCAGTCAAACAAGACTGCTTTCAGTCCCCAGAAACACACTAGAACCTTTGCTAACACCTCTGGTTTAAGGGATGTCCCCAAGATCATATAACCATTGGTAGAGCTGGGAATCCAGTATAGATCTTTTGACTCTGAGTTCAATGCTTTTTTCCAAGTTCCTTGCAGTGGCCCCATTCCTGAGGCTTTGGGGCTTCAAACAGAACCAATTATTCTCCCAGGTCAGAGCTTCTTTTTTGGAGTCTCCTTAGACAGTCAGTCTGGTGAAGGTTAGAGATCCTTTCTCAGAATTGTTTTTAAACACATAAAACAAAATACATAGAATTACAAAATACATAGATTTTAAATACATGAAACATAATAGATAGCATTACATTGAGGTATGGGTACTAATTTTTTTAAAATCACAGACACCAGGCTATAAACCTCAATCTTATAAAGCTAATTTAAGGAGGAAAAATTGGGATGGTTGTTGTCCTTTGTACTCGAGGAGGACCAAAATGATATCACTATGTTGGGGTCAAGGTACAGTGTGTCCAACACTGGCTGATCAGACCAATATGAGCTCGGAAAGCTCTACCACTACTAGGGCACAAACAGTCCATATGAACATTTGAGGTAGGTGAGCGGGGACGGAAGCAGAAGGGACCTGTTGGTCTTTCGAGAAGCTCTATCTAGGTTAAGCCCATACTGAGGCAGGTTGGTCATGGGGGGGAGTGGAGTGAAGGAATGGGGGTGGGAAGCAGCACCCGGCAAGAGGCAGCAAAATGGAGCCTGACAGGGATTCCCACTAAAAACCTCTCGAGTCAGGTCATCTTTCCATTGCCTCAAAAAACCGGAGACTATATGGCATTTCATATATATATTTCCCCCCCTTCTCCTCACCCAAAGGGGAGAGAAAGAATACCCATTTCTAATTCTGGGTGATTAGGTAATCCTATACTTGCAGGGAAAGAGGGAAGGTGGCTTCAGTAGTCCCTAGCCCCTTCAGCTACTTCTTGAACCAGTGGGGCAGAGATGAAAACTTGGATGGGGGGGAGGGGAAAGAGATTAGGAAAAGCAAAGTGGGTGCCAGGCTGGGTCCTCCTGGGAGGATCAGAGCTAGCTAAAGTGCTTTGGCCTCTGCAGCTAAAGTGCTTTGGCCTCTGCAGCTAAAGCAGTATCTATCATTAGTATTACTATTATATTTTCTCTATTCCCTGGAAGAGATTTTCTTATGCCCTGCCTGGTCTTTGTTAAATTCAGGGGGAAAGGCGCTGCAGACACTGAGCCCAAGGTTACGTACAGGCTGGTGGCGGTGAGAGAAAAGAGCCTTAGGTTTCAGGAGTCTGAGGCAGGGCCCGGGATGCCTTTCTTCACAAACCAGTTGTGTGGTCTTTTCAGGACCAAGGAAAGCAGCCACAGCCACTAAGCTAAGAGCCGGCCGCTGAACTTCCGGCAGGCTAGGCTTTCTCGATATACTTCGCCAACCCACAAAAACTGGGAGAGGGACTCACTCTCGATTGTGAAGCAGCAGAAACAGAAGGTGATCCTCCTCCTCCTTCAGTGCCCTCAGACGCTGCTCAAGTTTACCCCATTTGAAGAAATTCCGACCAGAAAAAAGGGGGCGGAGGATCTCTAAGGGAATTGGGAGTTAGGACACAAAGAGCTGATAATTCAGAGAAAGTGAATTCAGAAAGATGAGCGGGGAGGGGAGAAGGTTCCACGATTCCATCCACGAGCCTCCTCCCCCCCAAACACGGGGCAATTCAGTGTAGACTAATTCAGTCTACAACAATGAGGCTGAAGAGAAAGTTCTAGTCTAGGCTCTCCATAAGGTCCCTTTGCACTCCACCCCCACCCCTAGGACTGGGGCTGCAGCGCCCTCCCCGATCCGCAGAGGTAGATCTGCGGGGCTGCACGTAGACCTAACTAAATGTGCCTTCGCCCCTCTCCCCACCCAGGCACTTCCTCGACGCAGCCTCAGTGCACTTGCCCGCCCCATCAGTCCAAGCTCCTCTGCAGTCCCAAGGCAGGGAGTGACCTCAGAGCAGGAACAATGCATTCTTACCCCCTGCCGCCACTCTCTGACTCTTGGGGAACAGAAAAGTGCTGTTCAAGTTGAAATCACTGAACAAAAACCGTCTCCTTCCCGACTGTGCAAGCCTAGGTCCCCCAACATACTTTGCCCAGCTGGTCTCATACATACCTCTCCCTATGGGGATGGGGAAGACTCTGCTTCTAGTTCGTTTTTCTCCCATCCCCCTCTTCTCCCCCTCCCCCACAAACTTCTCCGCAGCAAGGGCAAGTTAATAGTCTCCTGCGAATCTGGGCCGGGGGCTCAAGAAAGAGGACGAAATGACAGACCCTGCCTGGCCACGGAAGACAGAGGGAGAGAGGGAAAGAAGGGGGAAAAAAGGGGGAAAAGAGGAGGTGAGACAGAAAAGAAAGGGAAAGAGGGGAAAGTGAGACATGATAAAAGAACGAGGGAAAGAATAGGGAAAGGAATCTTTGTCCTTTGTAAATGGAAATGTTTGTTAATTGTTAAGTTCATTAAAAAAAATTTAAAAATTGTTAAGTTCACAATGAAAAGAAAAAAGAGAGGAGAGAAGAAAGTGAAGATATCGGAGAAGGGAAAGAGGAATAGAGGAGGGGGGGAGACATAGAGAAGAGTAGAAAGAGGAAAAGGGGAAGGAGGAAAGAAAAATTAAGGGGGGGAGGGAGAAATCTTCCTTGCCATCCTTTGTAAAATGAAATGTCTGTGTTTATTGATAACTGTCAATGAAAAAGAAGAAAGGAGGGAGAAAAGAGAGGGGAGATGAAAGGAGAAAGGAAGGTAAAGAGGAGTAGCTGGAGACCCGGCCAGGGAGGACTAGGGGACTGGGAAGGAGATCTAGAAGAGAGAGAGGGGGGTGGCGGCAGCAGCAGCGGCAGCATCAGCATCAGTGGCAGGGCTGGCAGAGCCTGGCATGAGGGGGAGGGGCAGGACGAGCTCTCCCCCGCCCTCCCCCTCCCCCCGCCCGGGCCGCGTCGAGGAGCCGGGGCAGCTATAAAAGGCGCGGCCGGCGGGCTGCTGCCGCAGTGTCCTCCCGGCCGGCTCCCCGCTCCCCGCACTCCCGGCCCCGGCCCCGGCCCGGCCCGGCCCGGCCCCGCAAGCACGATGAGCTACAGCAGCGCGGACGGGCTGCTGCAGGGCCCCGTGTACCCGCTGCCCCTGCCCATGGGCTTGGGCCGCAAGAGCGCCGCGCTGGTGCGCTCGGCCGCCGGCGGCTCGGCGTCCAGCGGCTTCCACTCGTGGGCGCGGAGCTCGGGCTCGGGCTTCCGCTCCCGCGGCGCGCTGGCCGCCTCGAGCACCGAGAGCCTGGACTCGCTCAACGGCGAGGGCCGCGGGGCGCGCAACGAGAAGGAGCTCCTGCAGGCGCTCAACGACCGCTTCGCCGGCTACATCGACAAAGTGCGGCAGCTGGAGCTGCAGAACCGGCAGCTGGAGGGCGAGGCAGCCGCGCTGCGGCAGCAGCAGGCCGGCCGCTCGGCCATGGGCGCGCTCTACGAGCGCGAGATCCGCGAGATGCGCGCGGCCGCGCTGCGCCTGGGCGCCGAACAGGGCCAGCTGCGCCTGGAGCACGAGCGCCTGCTGGAGGACATCGCGCACGCGCAGCAGCGCCTCGACGACGAGGCGCGCCAGCGCGAGGAGCTGCAGGCAGCGGCGCGCGCGCTGCACCGCTATGCTGACGAGGCGGGCCTGGCGCGCGCCGAGCTGCAGAAGAAGGTGCAGGCGCTGCAGGATGAGGGCGCCTTCCTGCGCCGCCGCCACGACGACGAGGTGGCCGAGCTGCTCAGTCAGATCCAGGCCGCGGGACCCCCAGACGGCCGCGACCTCGTCAAGTCCGACGTGACGTCGGCGCTGCGCGAGATCCGCGCGCAGCTCGAGGGCCACACGGTGCAGAACACGCTGCAGTCCGAGGAGTGGTTCCGAGGTGGGGAGCGGGAGGGCCCCGTGCGCGCGCGCGCGAGCCCGGGAGGGAGGGGGCGGGGCTGCGATGGGAGGGGAGGGGAGGGGCTGGAAGCGCATCCCTGCTCACCTGTTTGCAGGTGTTCTCAGAGGCTGCCCGCTCCCGTGGCCCAAGCTCCACCCTAGCTAGTTCTGATACCCGGCCCTGACCTTAGAAATGGTCCAAGGCCCCTCCCAGCTGTGATCTTCTCTGTTCTAAGGTCCCTCCTAGCCCGGACCTTAGAAATGGTCCAAGGCCCCTCCCAGCCGTGATCTTTAATGTTCTAAGGTCCCTCCGAGCCCTGATCTTCTATGTTCTAAGGTCTTTCCTAGCACTGACCTTAGAAATTGTCCAAGGTCCCTTCCAGCCCTGACCTTGTATGTTCCAAGGTCCCTCCTAGCGTTGACCTTAGAAATTGTCCAAGGTCCCTTCCAGCCCTGACCTTCTATGTTCCAAGGTCCTCCCTAGCCCTGACCTTAGAAATGGTCCGAGGTCCCCCACTTTTGTGGTTGAATGAGGTGGTGTGGGAGGGGCAGCCTTCTTCATCCTAGCTTAGAGCACCTAGCTTCTAGCATTGACTTGACATATTGCAGGGTTCCCATTCTCCCTTCCCTCCTCCTTCTTCTCCCAGAGTTTCCCCTTGGGCCTGAGGACACACCCCCTCTTCCCTGCAGCATAGAGGAAGGAAGGATACAGACATTGCAGGGAGAGAGAGGAGGAGCTGGAGGAACTAGAAATAAGATTGGAGGGGACAGGAGAGGGTCCAGAATCTACATGGCCTTCCCCAGATTTGGCTTTTTTTTAAAGGGGCTCTTTTCTAGGGTAGGAGGTACCCAAATTCTCACAGTTAATCTCTGGTAAAGATGCTACCAATAAGTCCTTTAACTGGCCCTTCCCCCACCCTCATCCCAAGGCTGAAAGAAAACCTGTTTTATGGTTTTTTCTATCCCCAGTCAGCTGAGGCAGCTAGAGATGGGATCTCAAGTCTTCTCATCTCATTTTCTTTGGCCAGTACAAGCCTCATCCAAATTTTGAGTTTTCTGAGCTTCCTTGGACAGTGAGAATGACTGGTCCCTCCCTCCCCCACCCATCCTTTTCCCTGCCCCTATCTGCAGTAAGATGTCTACCCAGAGCTAAGTCATTCTACTTTCCATCTCCATTTGGCCCTCCCCTTTCCTTTGCTCTGCTAAACCTGGCAGAAAGGCCTAGGAAACAAGCTTGGACCTGCCCACCACCTGCCCCCAGCCCTATAGCAAAACTGGTGACCATTCAGGGGAAGTAGACCCTTTTTTGGATATCTGCAGCAAAAGCCAGCCTGTCCTGGGCTCGAGCTACAAGCTTGGACAAACTAGAATCCTTTAGGACACAGAGCTAGCTGACTGGTGTCCCTCCATCTGGGTGTATAAGCTCCGAAAGATCTGGGGCATCTTCTGCATTGTGTCTGGTACCTCCTTAGGGAGAGTACTGGGCACCCACACACACACACACCCACCCACACACACACACACACACACACACACACACACACTCCCTGAATCACCAGCCTGGTCGAGTGGATGGATGGGAAATGGGAATCCTTAGTCCCTCATTCTCTGGTGCTAGACCAGCGAAATCGTTGTGAACAGTCCATTTGAGGCAGCTGTGCAGGGTGACTGTTTCTAGAAGGAAAGGATAACCCTGGTTTCTGGAGAGGGGACTGTGATGTGGGAGTGATCTGACTGATTGCCAACAATATACAAGGTGCCCCAGAGGATGGCTCGGCAACCTTGTTCACCAGCTTTTCAAGATAAGTGACTCAGTATCTTAGACAGGAAGAAGAAAGAAAGTGTCCTCACCAAAGGGACCACCCTAGCCCTTTTGGGAGAAATAGGTCCTGCGAGTACGCAAGGGCCCCTGGGGCTTTGGGGCCAGGGTGTAGGAAGGTGGGGGCAATATCTGCAATGCAGTCCTCATACATCCTGAATTGGGACTGGCTCAGGTTTAGGGGTCTACTAGCTGAGCAGGGCTAATCATGGTGGAGTAATAGGAAGAGCCCTAGACATAGACGGTAACTTGGGTACGAGTTCCAAGCTTACAAACTACAAGCTCAGTAACCTTGGGCAACAATGCCTCTTCCTCGCTCTGGGCCTCAGTTTCCCCATCTATAAGATGAGAGAGTTGGACTAGATCCATCAGACCCTCTTCTAGATTGAAATCCTGTGATCTGGGACATGCAGTGTCAGTCAGTGAGCACTTATTAACCTCCTACTACGTACTAAGTACTGTGTTCTCGCAAGGGGCAGGGGGTTGTAGGTGGAGAATCTAACCTTACCAGCCCCTTGTCTCTGCCCCTTCTACTCCCTGACCCTGGGCTGCCACAGTGAGATTGGACCGCTTGTCAGAAGCTGCCAAAGTGAACACAGACGCCATGCGCTCGGCCCAGGAGGAGATCACTGAATACAGACGTCAGCTGCAGTCCAAGACCACCGAGCTGGAGGCCCTCAAGGGGACAAAGGACTCTTTGGAGAGGCAGCGTTCAGATCTGGAAGACCGCCATCACGCTGATGTCATCTCCTACCAGGTAGTTGCTGGGGCAGGGAGAAAGCCTGGACTGGCATTGTGTCTTTGCTGTGAGACCTTGGGAAAGTCACTTGGGCCTCCACTTTCTCATTTTTCAAATGACCCACTTGGACTGGGGTCTCCTGAAATCTCCATTTCTGGATCCAGTGATCTGGATTCGAGTTCCACCTCCTTGAGTGTGTCACAGCCCCAAGGCTTCCTCTCTATAAAATATGGGTCTTGCCATTAGAGTAGGGATTCCTAACCTAAAATTCTCTTTTAAATTTTTGTGTAATCTTTTGATAAGTGTATTTCAACATCATTGTTCTCCTTTGTAATCTCCTGGTTTTTTAAAAGGTGTTTTCAAACATTATTCTGAGAAGAGGCCCACAGGCTTCACTGAGGTGGGGAGGGGTCCATGCCCCCCCCAGAAGGTGAACAACCTCTGATCCTTTGGTGTTTTAGAACCAGAAAGGATCTTAGAAGTTCATGATTCTATGAGGCTTTCCAGCCTGCTTTACTAGTGACATTCTGTGTTCTGCAGAACTTCTAACATCTGGGAGGGGGCTCTGGGAGAATGGGGGTGCAGCCCTTGCAGAAGGAAATTGTTCTATCCTAGGGGAACATGGGCATTATGCAGGAACTGTCCCTTCCACAAATGACAGTTCAGTCCTGGGACTGCCCTCTTTGAGGTTGGATAGCTGGGACCCACAGTCAGCACTGCCCTCCTTTGGCTGCCAGGAGTGGGCATCTGCATTGCAGAGAGCCAGGGGCCGGCCCTCTGACGCACAGAACCCTTCCCTCCCTAGGAAGCTATTCAGCAGCTGGACAACGAGCTGAGGAACACCAAGTGGGAGATGGCGGCCCAGCTCCGGGAGTACCAGGACTTGCTGAATGTCAAGATGGCCCTCGACATTGAAATCGCAGCCTACAGGTACGTGGCTCTGAGGGCCCCTCTGTGATAGGGGGCACTCCTTCTTCCCTCCTCAGTTAACATCCCATGAGAGGCTGGATTGGGAGAAACACTTCTTAGGCCATTTAATGAGCCCGACTGGGTTGGGCTCACCCACGGTTATGGATGTAGGACCACCAAGGGAGAGCAGGAAGGGACCTTGCAGGTCCGCTAGCCCAAGCCCTCATTTCACAGTTGAACAAACAGTAAAGTGACTAGGCCAAACTCAGCTAGCATTTATATGATCTCATTTGTATGTATTTTTATTTGTATATTTATATGATCTCATTATGTCTTCACAACAACCCTGGGAGAGAGGTACTATTATTATCCCCATTTCAGAGATGAAAAAACTGAGACAGACAGAGGTCACATAACTGGCCTAGGGTCATCCAGCTAGTGTCTGAGGCCAGATTTGAACTCAGGGTCTTCCTGACTCCATGCTTCACCTAACTGCCAGGAAGTGAGTCAGGATTTGAACCCAGGTTCTGACTCCAAATCCATAGCTCTTTTTCCTGAACCTCACTACTTGATAATACTATGCATTTATGTTAGTACTGTACCGTTTACAAAGGGCTCTCATTTGGTTTTGAGCACTTTCCAGAGTTGTGGCAAGAGATGATCGTTTCTGTCCTGTGGGCGTTAGAACATTTGCTTAAATCTAGTTCTTTGGATACATGGCCTCCTTTGAGCTTAACAGCAGCCCTGAGAAGAAGGTGCAGTAGGTAGGAGCCGTCCCCATTTTACAGATAGAGAAATTGAGTTAAATGGCTCTCCCAGAGTCACACACACAGGTAGTGAATGTCGGAGGCAGATCTGGAGCCTAGGTCTTCCTGACTCTCGGCAGAGGGCTCTAGCCAGGCAAGTGGCAAGCATTCATTATGCATCTTCAGGGAATTCCTGGAATTAACACTTCCCTCAACTTAGGGAGCCTGGAGCCTATTTGAGCTGTTTGTGGCCTTTTAAGGCTGATCTTCTGGGCTTTTTTCTCCCCTGCTTACACTTAGAACTCATCAGGGGAGGGTTCAAGGGACCCTATGACTCTTAGAAAGAGTTTACCAGCCCACTGTGGGATCTGTAGGGAGTTGAGAGAGAGGAGCTGTCCAGGGTACCAAAGGTATGTGCAAAGGGAGGCAGGGTATTAAATTCAACCAACATTTGTGAAGCACCTAGTTCATGCAGGCATGGGTTCAGGGGATACAGAAGCAAAAGTGAAGACATTTCCTACCTTCAAGGAGCTTCCCTTCTACAGGATGGTCAGAGTACAGGATTAGGAGCCAGGAGACATAGGTACAAATTCCAGCTCTTCTGCTAGATGACCCCGGAAACCTCACTTCATTTCACTGGACTTTTCTTTCCCCCTCTGTGAAATGGGCATGATTCCACTTGCCTTCCCTCCTTAGCTCACAAAGCTGCCAGGAAGATCACAAGAAATATTGGACTGGCAAAGCATTTCTGCCTAGTAGGCAGAGGAAGGGTCCCTGGTAAAGATGAATATGCAGCCAGAACTCCCTGGCCTTCTCACTGGCAGAATTTGGGAGTGGAAGGCAGGGAATCTGGGCCAGGCTGACTCTGTTCTGCCCTTAGCAGCCCCACTCTAAGAGCAGTGATTGCATGGAGGGTGCAGATTGAAGGAAAAGGAATCTAACTGTGGTCCTTGGTGGTCACAGGCTTCATTGTAGTGTGCACTAAGCCAGGTTTGTATAATGCTTCATATGTCCAGACCACGTAGATATTCATTATGTCATCTGGTGCTCACAAGCCCCTGTGAAGGCTTATTACCTCAGTGGAAGAAATCAAGAAACTGAGGCACACCAAGTTTAGTTGACTTGCAGAAGATCATGGCTAGATAGTGATTGGTCTAGGAATAGAACGTTGGTCTTCTGATTTGATGGGAAAGAAGCGTTGGGAGGAAGGAGCCAGCAGCTTAAACACAGCCCCTGCCAACCTTACCCCTAAAGCTCAGAGGATGGGGAAGAATGAATGAATGAATTGATAGGATGGATGGATGGATGGATGGACGGACGGATGGCTGGATGAAAGAAAATTTGTTAAACATTGTGTCAAGCACTGTGCTAAGTGCTTGGGATACAAATATATATATATATATATATTATATGTTCACCCATGATCATACCTATAGGACCTTGTCCTGAAGGAGAATACATTTTAATGAGGACGAAAACACACATGAGGGAATGGTGGCCAGGGAGGGATGTATAATGATTTCTCCTTCCAGTAACTTCCTCATGCTGTTTCTCCTCCCCACAGAAAACTTCTGGAAGGAGAAGAGTGTAGAATTGGTTTTGGACCAGGTCCTTTCCCCTTTCCTGAGGGACTCCCTAAAGCCCCCGCTGCTTCCACACATGTAAAAGTCAAAAGTGAAGAGAAAATCAAAGTGGTCGAGAAGTCCGAGAAGGAAACGGTTATTGTGGAAGAACAAACCGAGGAGATCCAAGTGACTGAAGAGGTGACTGAGGAAGAGGAGAAGGAAGAAGAGAAAGAAGCAGCAGAAGAAGAAACTGGAGAGAAGGAAGAAGAAGGGGAAGAAGCAAAGTCCCCAGAGAAGGAAACCAAGTCTCCTCCTACAGAGGAGGTCACATCACCAGAGAAGGCCAAGTCCCCCCCTGAGGTCAAGTCTCCAGAGAAGGAAGAGGTCAAGTCTCCAGAGAAGGCCAAGTCCCCTGTGAAAGAAGAGGTCAAGTCACCTCCTGAGGTCAAGTCTCCAGAAAAGGCCAAATCCCCCATGAAGGAAGAGGTCAAGTCCCCCCCTGAGGTCAAGTCTCCAGAAAAGGCCAAATCCCCAGTGAAGGAAGAGGTCAAGTCTCCAGAGAAGGCCAAGTCCCCCACAAAAGAAGAGGTCAAGTCCCCCCCTGAGGTCAAGTCTCCAGAGAAGGTTAAGTCCCCAGAGAAGGAAGAGGTCAAGTCTCCAGAAAAGGCCAAGTCCCCCGTGAAGGAAGAGGTCAAGTCCCCCCCTGAGGTCAGATCTCCAGAAAAGGCCAAGTCCCCAGTGAAGGAAGCAGTCAAGTCTCCAGAGAAGGCCAAGTCCCCCGTGAAAGAAGAGGTCAAGTCACCTCCTGAGGTCAAATCTCCAGAAAAGGCCAAATCCCCAGTGAAGGAAGCAGTCAAGTCTCCAGAGAAGGCCAAGTCCCCCGTGAAAGAAGAGGTCAAGTCCCCCCCTGAGGTCAAATCTCCAGAAAAGGCCAAGTCCCCAGTGAAGGAGGAGGTCAAGTCTCCAGAGAAAGCCAAGAGCCCAGTGAAGGAGGAGGTCAAGTCTCCAGAGAAAGCCAAGAGCCCAGTGAAGGAGGAGGTCAAGTCTCCAGAGAAAGCCAAGAGCCCAGTGAAGGAGGTCAAGTCTCCAGAGAAGGCCAAGAGCCCAGTGAAGGAGGAGGTCAAGTCTCCAGAGAAGGCCAAGAGCCCAGTGAAGGAGGAAGTGAGGTCCCCTGCAGACATCAAATCCCCTATAAAGGCTAAATCCCCAGAAAAGGAAGACGTAAAATCCCCTGAGAAAGAAGACAAGGAGAGCGCCCCAAAGAAAGAAGCGATAAAGTCCCCTGGCGCACCTGTCAAAGAAGAAGGAAAACCTCAGGAGGCTAAAGTGAAAGAACCCCCCAAGAAGACAGAGGAGGAGAAAGCCCCAGCCAAAGCAGAAGAAAAAAAGGACAGCAAGAAAGAGACACCCAAAAAGGAGGCTGAGGAGAAACCCAAGGAACCTCAAGTGGGAACCAAGACAGAAGGAGCTGAGAGCCAGAAGGCAGCCCCAGCCCCGGAGCCTCCTTCGGCCCCTGCAAAGGGGGAAACCAAAGAGAAGGAGCCGGCAAAGCCCCAAGAGAAGAAGGCAGAGGAGAAAAAGGGGCCAGAGCCACCCAAGGCAGAGAGCGACCCCAAAGCCCCCAGCCAGCCAGCTGCGAAGGGACCCGAGAAACCAAAGCCAGAGGAGAAGAAAGCAGAGGAGAAGGCAACTGAATCCCAGAAGCCCGAAGAGAAACCCCACCCTGACCCAGAGCCAAAGAAGAGGGCAAGGCCCCTCCCAAAGAACCTGCCAAAACAGAGGCCCCCAAACCCAGCAAGCCCAAGACCGAGAAGGTGGAGAAATCCTCCAGCACCGACCAGAAGGAGAGCAAACCCTCTGACGAGAAAGCCAAGAAGGGCGATAAGTAGCCAAGGGAATCAGGTATGGCAACACCCACATGGAGCAGCCAAAGAAACTCGGACGGGTCAATCAACTCTAATTTATTTTATTCCTGCCTCCCGCAAGAGACTGCCCTCAGACTGCAGGGCACCCTCCTTTTCCAAGCTGGAATTCCTGGTAGCAGTACATAGGAAAAGAGGGAGACAGGAAAACCAGATCCCCCTCCCCCTGGAGGTCCCCAGCCCCCAGCCCTCAACCCTCACCGACGATGGTCAACTATGTTATGATAGCTTAACTAGCAGAATGTGATATATGCCGAATGCCACATGTAAACACTTGACTATTTAAAACTGCCCCTCCCCCTCCCAATAAGTGCATTTATTTCCTGTATGTGCAATCAATCGATGGACAAATGCAATAATGAATGTACGCACCGTTAGAAGACGCATTATGCTTGAGATGTCTTAAAATGGTACGGATGCCTTTTTTTGTTCATTTTCCAAAGGAAATCTGTCGGCCCCCCTGGTGCGGACACGGCTCTGCTGGAGGGTGGGCCCAGAGGATGCAGGGTCAGCCACAGTGTCAATCATGCCACAAACTCAGAGGAGCACTGTTCAACTTGAGGCCACTTTCAATTGCTTGTGTGCAATAAAACAAGAGTGCTTATAAAAACGGAGAACTCCCGCTATTTGATTTCTTTTTTCCGGAGGAGGATGGTGGGGAGGGGATGAAGGGAGAGAGGAAGCAGCTAAGATTCCATGGAGGTCCTAGCTATCCAGGCTAGGGAGGCAGGTCTAGCTGGACCTGGGAACCAGGGGCCTTGGGTTTTAGTCCTAGCTCTAGCCACATGACCTTGGCCAAGTCCTTTTAGCCCTTGTATGTGACAGAAGTTGCCTTCATATTTCTGGTAACAAATGATGAATGTTCTTTGCTGCTGGTGTGAGTTTGTGCCTTGCTTTTCTGTTAAATGGGGGTGGGCAAGGTAAGCTGCCTACCGCAGGGAGTTGTCAGGATCCTCTGGGCTCATGAGATGGGGAGTTATGGAGTGGGCCCACCTAAATGGGAGGCATTTCCCATGAGGGAGATCAAGTTGCTTCCACGTCTTTGCTATAGGGAAGAGGAATCTTCTCAGCTGGTGACTGTGGGGAGCTCATTCGGCTCTGAGTGGGGGATGGGGGCTAATGCCAGTGAATTAGGCCCAACTGCTCACTAGCGGTCATTTACCTGGACCGTGCCAAGCTTTGGAAATATAGCTCTACCTCTTCCTGCCTGGGGTACCTCGGCAAGCTGCCTACTCTTCTGGGGACTTGATTTCCTCCATAACACGAAGAGATTGGACTAGGGGGTCCTTTCTTGTTCCAAACGCCATGATCTTCATCCCTTTTCTTGCTCTTAAGACTACGTCTCCCTATCTCAGCCAGGCTGGAAGGGCTTCAACTGCTCTCAGGCCTGATCGCAACACTGACAGGGACAGAAAGTTTCATCTGCTCTGCTTCTGACCTGGGCTGGCTGACCCCTCCTTAGGCAGCCTGGTGGCCCTCCACTCCCTGGGCTCACTCTCTTGGTACCAGACCTACTGCAGACACCTGACTGGCTCATCCCTACTGCAGCTCAGTACTCCTGAGCTCAAGCATCCCAGTAGCCTCAACCTCCCCCAGCAGCAGGGCCAATAGTCCTGACACATTCTACCTGGCCCTCCCCCATCATGATGCTTTGCCACGTGGCTGAGGGGCTACAGCCACATATTGGGACCCAAGCAAACAGAATCAAACATCTTTGAAGTAAGGAAGGAAAGCGATACTCCTGACAGAAACACAAACATTTCAGGTAGAACAAATGGAATTTTCTTTCCACTGGATGTGAGCTTTGAACCTGTATGCCCCAAGGCCTACCTCACCTTTTGGTTTCTGTTAGATATTTTTCCACTTGGGACAGGCTTAAAATAAGAATACCCTGGGTACAGTCAAGGAATTCGGCTGTCTTAGAGTTTGAATAAATTTGCTTATAAAAGCCATTTACTAGTTGTTTCAATGGTACCTGCCACTGAAGTTAAAGCCTTAAAGTGAATGTGGATTTAATGTGCTAATAGAACTCATTTCTTTAAGGCTTTAAGATTCACAAAGCACATTTCACACAACCAGAGATAGGAATGACATGCATGCTCATCCCCATTTTATAGATAAGAAAACTGAGGTCATGAGCCCAGAGTCATAGAATCCCAGAATCTGAGCTCAGAGGGCTCTGAGTCGAAGCCATACACAAATGGAGCCTCACTAGAACATCCCTAGAGGAGACCCAAGTGTTGTGAGGGATGGCGTGTGGCTCAAAGGGAGGCAGAATGGACATCTACAGCCTCTTCTCCCCAACCCTTCTCCAAGGGACACTTTCATTCCTGCCAGGAGGGGAAGCAGGAGGTTGGGGCCAGAGGTCACTGCTCTGCTCACCTCTCCTCAGAGAGACAGGGGTACTGGGCTGGAATTATATCTTCCTGCTCTTTTAAAGGCTGGTCATCTCAGGAATATGATCAAGTTCAACTTAACTTCTGATCACTTTGTCATTATTATTGGGGGGAAGGAGGATCCCAAGTTTTACATCTGAGGGTTGTCCCCTTTCCCATGAAATACCAGCTCCACAATGAACACACAAAGCAAATAGCAAAGAAAACATTTATCCCCATTGGTAGCAAAACAAAAAATCAGAGAAGGTATACATAGGAGACTGTATGCTGGACAATACTGAGTGAAGTTCTCATTGTGACAGCAAGATAACTCAGCTGAACCAAGAGAGAAAGAAAGTCCTGGATCTCTCTCGAGGGGAAACTTCCTGAAGTCTCAAGTGTAGCTAGCTGGGAACAGAAACATAATGGAGACTGTCTGCTCCTCTCATGTTTTCCTAGAATCTTTTCCTTCAGCAACCTGAAGTGGGATTGACTTCTTCCATCTTCTGTCTTGAAGCTGGAAGCCAGAAGCACCCAAAGCAACTCAGTGCTTGAAGAGCCTGAAGAAGACAGCTCTTGAAGAGTCCCAAAGGAACTGGAGGAAGCTGGAATTCTCCTGGAGGTCTCTGACCTTGACTCTCATGCAGAGCAGGGCATTCATTTCCATCCATAAGGAGACAGTCTCCTTATGGCTTTGGGACAGGGATTACATAACTGACAAGTAGTCATTCAGCTTCTGCTTGGATCCTTCCCAGAAGGTGGGGATCTCACCATCTCTCACAAATCACACAGGCAGGAAAGGGGAAGAGCCAGGATTAAAATCCAGGTCTTCTCACCCCAAATCTAGGCACTCTTTCCGCTATACTCCAAGGAGTTTGTGATATCACTGACATGAGTTTTCTGTCTTTCCAAGCTCACTTAATTCTAGTGTCTTCCTTCTGTTATTTCCTACTTATCCTGTCTGCAGCATGTTTATACATAATTGTTTACTTCTTGTCTTCCCCCATTAGATTGTGAGCTCCTCTAGGGCAGGGCCTGTCTTTTGACTTTCTTTGTATTCTCAGGGCTTAGCACAGTGCCTAGCATATAGTAGGTGCTTAATAACTGATTGCTTGTCTAGGAAGATAGATCACAACCCAATCATGCCTCCGCACCCTTGGCAACTGTCATTCATATCCTTCCACAAATTTGCTGCAAAGGTTCTGTTTGACATGCTGGACAGACTTCTCAAGTTCTCTTGTCATTATGTGGATGCCCATGGGAACATGCACATTGCCTCTCTTTCTTGTTGCTATGTGACTGGGTCATCCTTATTTCCCCCTCCATTACTATGTCTATCTCTCTCTCTCTCTCTCTCTCTCTCTCTCTCTCTCTCTCTCTCTCTCTATCTATCTATCTATCTATCTATCTTATCTATCTATCTATCTATCTATCTATATCTATATCCATCTCTATATCTATCAATCTATATCTATATATCTATCTATATGTAGATATAGATATAGACATCTCAGGTGACAATCTGGACAGAACCTCTGGATAATTCCTTGTTCATAACAGGCTGTGACTTCACGCCCATTCTTTGCCTTCCTCTTCAGTTACCCTGTTGAGTAATGTTCAATTTCAGATCTTCCAGGACTCTCAGACCCTTCCCACAACATAAAATTCCATGCAGTTGTCCTATGCGGTCCTCTGTGGAGGAGTTACAAAGAGGCATACAGGCTAGGTGGGGCAGAGGCTAGAGACCAGGCAGAGCAGCAGATGCTGAGAAGAGACAGAGCAGGCTGGAAAGGGGTCAATCCCTGTCTTTATCCCCATTTGTCAGATTGAACAGGGTCTGAGGTCCTTTTCAGCTGAGTTACTATGACCACTCCTAGGACCTTGAGCCAGAGCTCTTGGCCTCCAAGACAAGGCTGTGCTTTGGGGATATTAACTCCAGTTCCAGGGAGTTCTTGTTGGAGGGGAGCTATTGGAAACAAATTGTTTTTCAGAATTACTAAACCCCTTGGGAAATTAGTTGTTGTTCAGCCATTTTAGTTGTTTCACTCTTCTTGACCCCATTTGGGGTTTTCTTGGCAAAGACACCGGAGTGGTTTGCCATTTTCTTCTCCAGCTCATTTTACAAATGAGGAAACTGAGGCCAACAGGGTAAAGTGACTTGTCCAGGGTCACTCAGCCAGTGAATGTATGAGGCTCGATTTGAACTCAGGAAGATGAGTCTTCCTGACTCCAGGCCTGGCACAGTATCCACTGTGCCACCTTGCTGCCCTTGGGAAATGCACTGCAGGAATTGTATCTGGTTGACTCTGGCTGCTTCACTATTGTTGGGTCCATACATTTCAGGCTGGAAAAAGACACAGGGAGAGGAATCTTGCTGCTGTCAGCTTCATTGAGGCATCTTTGGTGCCACTCGATGACACTTGACACTTGAGGATACAGTGAGACTTGAGGAAGGAGATTTCAATAGACTAAGGAACTGGATACTAAAAGGACAGACAGGGAAACTGACATCCTCTCTTCAGGGATATTCTTGTGGATTAGGGAGAAATGGTTTCTCTCCTTCTTCCCTGTAATTCTGCCAGAGAAATGATAGCTCTGGAAGGGACCTCAGAAGCCAGGCAGTCTAACCACCTTCCTCTTATAGAGAAAACTGAAGCCCAGAGAGGGATCACCAAGTAGTAAGCAACAGAATCAAGATTTGAACCCAGGACCTCTGTCTGTAAAGTCGATGCTCTTTTCACCATACCACAAGACACTATGGTGCTTTGGAAAAGCTGTCCTGGGAGCTGAGCTGTAGTTCCATCTTCTTCTACTAAACTGCATCACTTTGGCCAAGTCATTGTCTCCAGGCCTCAGTTTCCACTTCTGTAAAATAAGGGCATTGCACTGGCTCATCCTTTCGCTGTTCAGTCGTTTTTCAGTCGCGTCCAACTCTTTGTGACTCCATTCAGGGTTTTCTTGGCAAAGACACCAGAGTGGTTTGCCATTTCCTTCTCCATCTCATTTTACAAATGAGGAAACTGAGGCCAAGAGGGTAAAGTGACTTGCCCAGGGTCACTCAGCTAGTAAGTGTCTGAGGCTGGATTGGAACTCGGGGCCTCCTGATTCCAGGCCCAGTGCTCTGTGCACTGCACCACCCAGCTGCGTCATGGGTCAGCTCTAAGGCAGCCAATTTAACAGGTAAGCGCCTGTCATGTGCAAAACACTGGGCTTGTCTCTAGGGGGCGCTCCTTG